AGCCCCCATCCCCCCTCGCTGCTCACCATGGAGTCTGTGATCTCGAAGACCAGCACCCCGGCAGCCTGGTAGGCGAAGCTGGCTGTGTTGAAGAAGTAGCTGGAAGCTCCGAAGTAAACCATGCGGTCGTGTGCCGGGGGTAAGGCCAGCGGCAGCGGAGGGAAGGGGACAGGGGAGCGGTGGGTCAGGGAGAAGAATTCACCCTGGGAGGAGGGAGAGGGGTGAAGCAGGAAGGCAGAGGGGGGTGGGACTCACCCGCTGACCGGGGCTGGGAAACAGCGATGGCATCAGCCAAATCAACCTTTCTCACCTTCAGTTTCACGTCCAGGTACTGGGCGGTGGCAGCTGGGGGGGCCACCAAGGAGAAGTCGATCCCAACAGTGGAACCTATCCTGGCTGTGACTGTAAAACACGGGACAGAGGGATGAGCGAGAGGGAGGTGGCACGGGAAAGCCGGGAGTGGACTGCCTCGGCTGACATCCAGGCAGTGCCGTGCCCAGGCTTCCCGGGGTGATGGGTTCTGGGTAGAAGCCAAACTCCCATTTCCCCCCTGGCTCTCAGCCATGCAGACTAACTCCCGGACCCAGGGAATGGTCTGGGGCCCCGGGCTCAGGCAGCCCGTGCCCCCGGCAGCACCAGAGCCAGAGCCCAGCTCGCTGGGGCAGATGGGCAGCCGCTGCGGCCGGGCAGGGCACACAGCGACAAGGCTCTGCTGGACCATGTTCCCCAGCTCCCACCGTGGGTGCAGAAACAGAAGTGGGGAGTGGGCACAAGGCACAACGCTGTCCTCGTGCCTGGAGAACGCGACCCGCTCCTACAGCCCCGTGCAGCCGGCTGGTACCTGGCAGGGTCTGGAGGTAGGGCTGGAGATCGCTGTGCACAGACCTGGCCACGCTCTCACAGACCTGCGGGAAGGAGGGCAGCGAAGCTGAGCGAGGGCACCAGGGCAGCCCGCTCCCACCCGCGTCAAAGCCTCAGCCGAACTCCCGCTTTGCTGCCCGGGGCCAGTTTGGTTCCTTGCAACAGCCTGACTGGGTTCCTTCCTGTTTGCATAAAGGAGCGCACGGTGACGCCTGGCTCTGCTCATCAGGCAGCACATTAATTATGCATCCAAGACAGAAGCAAAGTCTGTACCTGCAAATATCTCCCCACACAGCGCTCAGCTGCATCAAGCCCTTGGAAGGAATCTCTGTGCTCTCAGACTATTCCCACGGCCTGTGCCGGAGTGGGTGGTGCTGAGCGGAGCCGCTGAGTGACCCCAGTTCTGCAGGGGCAGGAGCAGGAACTGCACCCAAAGCAGAGCGATCCCAAGTTCCTGCAGCTCCCTGCTGCCGGGACAGCGGAGCAAATCTCTCCACCGCTGTCCTCCACGTGTGAAGCATCACAAACACAGGATGGTTCTGGTGGGAGGGACCCTTAAAGCCCCCCCAGTCCCACCCCCTGCCATGGGCAGGGACACCTTCCATAGCCCAGGTTGCTCCAAGCCTCATCCAGCCTGGCCTTGGACACTCCCAGGGATGGGGCATCCACAGCTTCTCTGGGAACCTGTCCCAGTGCTCCCACCCTCTGCGGGAAGAATTCCTTCCTGATGTCCCATCTCCACCTCCCTCTTTCCGTTTAAACCCGTTACTCCTTGTCCTGTCCCTCCCTGCCCTTGGGAAAAGCCCCCCCAGCTTCCTTGTAGCCCCCAGGCACTGGAAGGGGCGCTGAGGTCTCCCCGGAGCTTCCCTTCTCCAGGCTGGACAAGCGCAATTCCAGGCTTAGTAGGGATTTACCTGAAAACCTGCCCCAGGAAACTACCTCAGGGCACAGTCCTGCAGACGGCCGGGATAATCTGCACAAGCTCTCTGCCGGCGCCTTCCCCAAAATGGCACAGGAACCACCAGCAGGATCAGGCCACTCTTTCTCAGCCCAGGCATCCAGCCTGCAGCAGCGGGTAGCGGGAGGCAGAGCTGGGAGGAGCAGTGACCACGCTGGCAGCGGCTGTGCAGTGCCAGGGAGGAGGAGAAGGGGCAGAGCCTTGGGCATGGCCTTATCCACAGCCAAGAGGCAGCTCTTCCCTGTGCCCAGCCGATATTCATCTGTCAGGAAGCACCCCACCGCTGCCCAGGAGGATGGAGCTGCAGAAGCGAACGCAGCCCTGACCCCAGAGAGCGGGTGTCCCTGGCACCGGGGGCACGAGGGTTCCCCCAGCACCCGCAGCGAGAGCAGAAGGCAGAGGGGGGCTGCCAGGGCTGGAGCGGGCTGTGCCTCAGGGTCCTGGGGCAGCGTGCTCCCAGCCCCTGCCCATCACCCTCACACCAGCTCTCACACAGAGAAAGACCCTGAGAAACGGGCGCTGGGCAAGGGGGCCCGGTGGGGGTGCAGAGGTCCCCTCGGGGTCCCCAAGCTGCTCTCCTTCCAGGAGCCAAAACAGGGGAAAAGGCCTCCAAGACCCGGCTTTGCTCCTGCTGCCAGCCCATCTGCTGCCACAGCTCCCGGGGGCCTTGGGAATGCCACCATCTGCTGCCACGGCTCCCGGGGGCCTTGGGAATGCCTCTACACGGCATCGGGAATAGCGCCCGGGCAGGATGGGATCTGCTGCGGGAGTGGGATTTGCCTCTTCTCCAACTGCCTCCTTCCCGAGCAAGGTTCACATCCAGAGAGGCTGTAACTCGTGCCAGTTAGCCTTGTAGTAATTACTGCTAACAGCTTGTTTCCATGTCTCGTTGCAGATCTCCGGCATGTAGGCTTTTGTGCCGGGCAGGCGGTACTGGGGGTCCCTGATGCACCCCCTTAAAACAAGGCGGCAAGTGTCTGGCACCCACAGACGGGAACTTGTGCCCCGCTGCTCCCCGAAGCACGGGGCAGCGCGGCCGTTCAAAGGATCTCTCTGATCGCGTTTCCCCTGCTACGGCGAGCTTGGCCGGGGCGTAAGATCTCATTAACTGACCACATGGAAAGGAAAGTCTTTGTTAATTAGGAACCAATTACACTGGGCTCTGGCAAAGGCTGCAGGTTTCAAACTCGGCTGCATGATGCTGCGGAGGCTGCGGTGAGCCGTGCCCGTTCCTGCGCTCCTCACCAAGCTGGCGGCACGCCCGGGTGCTCCGGCTCTAGTTAAACCCCTACGTGTGCTCCGGCTCTGCCAGCGCATCAGGCACGAGCAAGGGCTAAAGACCACCAGAAAACCCCGGAGCTCTGCCCTCCTTTGCTCACGTACCTTGCTCTCCAAGCTTTTCCGGAACCTGGACTCGACAGCGCTGTAGAAGAGGTTGTAAAGCCATCTGCAGGGAAACCAGAGAGGAGTCCTTCTTTCTCTAGCTCAGAGGCTGCTGCAGAAGAATTTGCCCAGGAAAGGGAGACACTAGGGATGCAGGACAACAGGGAATGTCATTCCCATACCAATTTGGTGTCTGGCTCTGCCGCGGGGTTTACATCTGCAAACAAACCTGCTGGTAAACCCGTGCCTGGGCCTGGTGATGCCTTAAATCTGCCTTAATGTGCAGCCCCAGCAGGATAAATTCAGGCCAGATTTGTTATATCGCAAGGGCCTGGGGAGGGCTGACTCGTGGTGCGGCTCCAAGGGACGGCAGACAGGCAGCATCTCACACCTGGAAGCCCCGTGCCCACGGCAGACGGGTAACACACAGCGTTTCCCGGCATCACAGTGGGGTTACGTACCCAAACTTGCCCGAGAAGTGCACTTGGACCTTGGAGATGCGGGTGCTGCAGTCGGGGGTGTCCACGGTGGGCTTCCCGGAGGCGTCGCTGCCCAGCTTCAGGTTGATTTTGATATAGATGTTCTCTGCCCTCAGGTCAAATGAACCGTGGTCCCGGCTGCCGGGAGAGGAGGGCGAGAAAGGGACATTGCTCAGCGCCAAGTGCTGCTGAAGGGACCCCAAATCAGCTCCAGGACGGATCTGCCCAGCTCAGAGTCTCCCTCGTACTCAGCATCCAGAGGAGACGGGGAAAGATTTTAGACTCAGGGAAACAAAATTTGACTGGAACTTAAACCAGGAGAGGTAACCTTTAGAGAGGATCAAGAGCAAGTAGGGAAGAGTGAAGAGAGACGGGAGAGCTCACACACAGCTCCTCCATCATCCACCTTGTTCTTGCCTCCCTCCCTGATTTATCCATCCGGGTGGCTGTACGAGTGGCAGCGACTGCTGCCCACCCTGTCCAGCCCAGGTCTGTGCCTGCAGGTAGCAGCGGGACCATCCCCCTCACCCCAGGTGCCGCAGGAGGGGAGATGGCGTTCATGTCTCCCCAAGCACTTGCAGGCAGGATAAACACCGCCTGGCCAGCTCCACGGGCCCCTGGCACGGAGAGAGACCTGGCTGGATGCCCCTGAGACGAGGGGCTCCCAGGAGCGCATCGTCTCCGGCTGCAGGAAAGACAAGTCGGCACATCTGGAGAGAGTAAAGCAAGAGCTGCCCAGACCCACGGGAGAAGGAGAGGAGGAGCAACCTGCCCAGAGCCGGAGAGGGAGACGCAGAGTGAAGCGCCCGAGTGGGGAGAGGGGGAGCTGGGCACGCACATGAAGTGTAGCTTCACCCGCCAGTTCCCGTCCAGGTCGGCGAAGGCGTTGGAGATGGCGACCTGCAGCCCCACGTTGGGGACCAGGGAAATCCGTGAGTATGGCAAGTGGAAACTGCGAAGGTCCAGTCTAAAATAAATAAAAATAAGGGAAAAGTCACATTACGGGAGCACCGCGTGCCCGGGCACAGGGCTGGGGAGGGAGGGAGCCGGGCCACTGTGCCAGCAGCATCCCCAGCTCCCGTCCAGCTGTGGCACCACAGGAAATGCGGTCCCTGCAGCCACCCAGGCAGCAGCTCTAAACCCTGCTCGGCAGGAGCGGAGAGGTGCAATGGGGCAGTGAGGAGCTGGATCTCGGCAGGGCTGGGCTGTGATTGCACAAAATCCGCCCGCACCCAGAGTGCTGTCACCCGGGTTCCTTTTTCCCATTTGGGCAGAGGGGCTGAAGCAGGAGCGTCTCTGCCCGCCCCGAGGACAGGGCCACCAGCTCAGGGAGCAGTGGAGGGGACAGGATGGTCCTCGCTGCTCCAGGGGCTCCCTGTCCTCCCCCATCCTCGCATGGGCTGGGGGGACAGCGAGCTGCTCCGGGGTGCTGGCAGGCTCACCTGGAGATCTCATAGTGCACCTTCCCCACGTGCCGGATGCGAAAGTCCCCCGTGATATCCGGCAGCCTCAGCTGGGCCAGTTCCTTCTCCAGGACCGTGATCCCCTGCTGATGGGCTGTAGGGGCAGAGGGAGACAGCTGTGTGCTCCCTGCAGGAGCCGGGAGCAGGCACCGGGCACACAGCGAAAGGGTTAAAGGAAACTTCCAGGCGATGCCCTGGCTGCTTTCCACCTCCCCGGCTATCTTCACAGCTAATCTGGGTGCACAGAGCCCTGGGCAGGACTTGTCCCGCTGCAAGCCCCGGGGGA